TAAAGTTTTGGAAATGAAACCAATTTAGCTTAAAATTCATAATTTCTGTAAGTGTTTGATTATATTCTGCCTTGAGGTTGGTGGGTGGCGGAGGACTTTACAGTTGGGTACGAAGTTTCACAACATCTTGTGCTCGTCGTATATGCTAATGCGGTGGCTCAAAAATTGGTCAATTTGGCCTGGTATTATTATATTGATTTTGTTAGTTTAAGGCTACTCCAAATTTAATCTAGAGTGCTTGAGGATTGAAATCTTGCTTGATGATTCAAATAATACCAACATCGTCCCGTATAAAAAAATGTGTTTACAAATATATATTGAATAACATTTGTACATATAACAATCTTTCGATTTACCCAGGAGTAGTGGATAGTATCGAGCAAATGATAGATTGATCTAGTCGGTGATAAGGCTTTCTCTTCAATATGTTGTGTTATAGTTTCAAGCCTTCAAACCCTATTCCCTCTTTTTAACGTGGCTTCGATTAATAATATTGGTTGTAGTAAAAAAGTAATACAGTCTTATAATATTCATCTTCACTTAAAATTGGGGGTCTTAAAGTTAAATTTTATGGATGGTATGTTCGAAACCAATTTATTATGGCAAAAGGTTGTGTAAGTTAGCCAAGTATATTGCTAAATAAGAAAATATCCTTACAAACACAACCTTGTAAAACCATCTAAATCGGTAATGACAAGAGTACCTAACTCAAATCAAATAAATAGATGGAGAATGTAGTGATGATTGTCAAACACATCGATCTATTTACACTAACAGTATTATTTGAAATCTTGATTGGTTAATAAAATAATACAACCATTGTCTCATTAAAAAAAATGTATATACAAATATATGTGTAGACATCGAAATTTCGGTAAATAAATGTTGACCGATAAATCAAAGTTTCAACGCTCATGTATTACATAAATTTTACACGTAGCGTGTGTCTAAACAAAAAATCGAAATAAGTTGGAAAAGTCATCAAACAGGACACGTGTCAACACCTGGTAGAAACGACTTATTTCATCTGGAATATTATATTCAAAATTAGGCCTTGGAAATTTCTATAAATAGAAGGCTAATTCATTCATTTGAAGGGGGAACCAAAATCATTAGGCAAAATTCTTGAAGCTCTGAAGCTCTGAAACTCCGAAGCTCTCAAGCATCTAGGTTCCCGAAGATCAAGCATCCAATTCTTCGTTCTTCGTTCATCGTTCTTCCAAGATCAAGCCCCGACGGCCCTTGAAGAAAGTGTTCTTCGTTCATCGTTCTTCCAAGATCAAGCCCCAACGGCCCTTTGGATCAACAATCATCCACCAATTCAAGATCAAGCCCCGACGGCCCCTTGAAGAAAGTGTTATTCGTTCTTCGTTCATCGTTCTTCCAAGATCAAGCCCCGACGGCCCTTGGATCAACCATCCACCAATTCAAGATCAAGCCCCGACGGCCCTTGAAGAAAGTGTTCTTCGTTCTTCGTTCATTGTTCTTCCAAGATCAAGCCCCGACGGCCCTTGGATCAACCATCCACCAATTCAAGATCAAGCCCCGACGGCCCTTGAAGAAAGCACCATCGTTCATCATCCGTTCATCCAAGATCAAGCCCCGACGACCCTTTGGATTAACAACGTCGACAAATCCACACATCCAACCGTTCTTCAAGATCAAGCCCAAAAGCCCTTGAAGATCCGTTCATCACTGTTCTTCAAGATCAAGCCCAAAAGCCCTTGGAGATCCGTTCGTCACTGTTCTTCAAAGATCAAGCCCAAAAGCCCCTTTAAAGATCCGCTCAAATCCACCTTCAAGATCAAGTCCACGGCCCTTGAAGAACGTTCATCCTTAGATCAAGCCCAACGACCCTTTGGATCAATCACACATCCACAAATCAATACCTTACGGAGATCGAATCAGATGATCAAATTTGAGAGAGATTGTAACCCAAAATCATCAAACGCAAATATTTGTTTGTGCACGTCGTTCTTGTCTCTTTCATTTCAGGAATTTTCTGTGTTCACAAATTGGCACGCCTAGTGGGACCATCTCTACCTCTCATCTCTTTCTCCGTTCAAGAAATTCGAGCACACTTCCAAAATTAATGGCTTCAAGAGAGGCTCAAACTGTTCCCGCAACTGGCGCAAAGAACAAGAGCGCCCTCGTCGCAAGAGATGTCACTTTAGGCATCACGACTCAAAGCAAGGCAAGAGCTACTTCGGCCGCCTTTTTCACCTCTGCATCAACTCTGCTAAGGGAACAAAAGCACCCAAGGCACGAGCCTTTGATCACCTTAGCCTCACTAAAGGCACCAAGGGGGGAAAGCCCAAGGAAATACTCCGAATCCATGCTCTCCGATGCCGATTCAAGCGGCAGTTCAGCCATGCAAGTCATGACCATTGGAGCAACTTCAATCGATGAGCAGCTGGCTCAAATGAATGAAGCAATCGCAAGGCTAACACGGATTGTTGAAGAAAAAGACTTGCAAATCGCTGCACTCGTCAGCCGACTGGAGCCACAGGATGACGAGAACCCTGACCCAGAGAATGATCCACTAAAAAGAAGAGATGACGAAGAAGATGAGCCTCAGGTGGAGAAAAACGATGTGAAGCCGGAGCCAGACCAAGCAGCGGCACTCATGGGATCTTTTCCTATCCAGCAGCTGCAGGAGATGATCACCAACACCATCAAGGCACAATACGAAGGGAGCTCAAATACCTCCGGGTTGTACTCGAAGGCGTATTCAAAGAAGATTGATGCCTTAAGGATGCCGAGGGGTTATCAACCGCCAAAGTTCATGCAATTCGATGGAAATGGAAACCCGAAACAGCACGTTGCCCACTTTGTTGAAACTTGCAACAACGCAGGGACCGAAGGGGATTACCTCGCCAAGCAGTTTGTGCGCTCGCTGAAAGGAAACGCCTTTGAGTGGTACACAGACCTAGAACCGAAGGGAATTCCTCAACCACTTATACAGCACCCGTCGTACTGTGAGCATGCTAGAGCTAACGAGCACAAAGCAGTGGAAGGACGAGCCAGTCATTGACTACATCAACATATGGTGCACTCTAAGCCTCGACTGTAAAGACAGGCTCTCGGAAACCTCTTCAATCGAGATGTGCATCCAATGCATGCAATGGGGTTTGCAATACATCCTTCAAGGCATTAAACCACGAACTTTCGAGGAATTGGCCACTCGCGCCCATGACATGGAGTTGAGCATCGCCCATCATGGGAAGAAAGAACCGATCGCCGACTACAAGAACGACAAAGTTCTTGGGCCAAAGTTGGAGAAGACTGCGTGGAAACCCACCAAGGAAGCAATGACGGTCAACACAGCTCCCGTCAAAATCCCTACGCGAGGCAAGGCGATTCAAACCGAAGCTTTTCGTGATCAAGAGATGCGTAGACGCACTTTGAAGGAGCTTGAGGAGAGGACTTATCCATTCCCCGACTCTGATGTGGTTGCCATGTTAGAAGACTTGCTGGAAAAGAAGGTGATTAGTTTGCCTGAGTGCAAACGGCCAGAAGAGATGAATCGCACTGACAGTCCAAGGTACTGTAAATTCCACCGCTTCATCAGTCATCCGACAGAAAAATGTTTCGTGCTGAAAGATCTCATCATGAAGCTGGCTCAGAAAGGAATCATCGAGCTAGACCTTGACGATGTGGTGAAGTCAAACTATACCACATTCACTTCTGGCTCTTCCGACTCAAAGTTTTCACCTCAACCGCTGGGGGCATGCTCCAAGACAAGCAAAGTTGAAGGATGGACTCAAGTCACTCCTAAGAAATTGCACAAGAAGCATACGTCTCCTCCACAAATCCGCCAATCGGAAAGGGGGCAAAGCAGCTCTTGTCAACCTTCAAAGCAACGTGAACGTGTTGAAGATGATGAAATTGCAACACAAAGATCGTCCGTTGCCATCACAATGCGCGATTTCTTTCCTGAAGACTTCTTCAACTACTCAGTGAAGGCTCCTTGCTATGAAGATTGCAAGGAACGACTCTCTCGGATCGCTTGACGAACCAACCAAAGCTCCTAGTCTGCACGAGCATAAAAGGCAACACAAAAGCTCCTTGTCCGCACGAGCCTAAATTGTAGGACACAATGCTCCTTGTTCGCACGAGCCTAAACTGCACGAACCAATGCTCCTTGTTTGCACGAGCCTAAACTGCACGAACCAAAGCTCTTTGTCCGCACGAGCCTAAACTGTAGGACATAAGGCTCCTCGCCTGCATGAGCCTAAAACTGCATGGCAAAACGCTCCTTGCCTGCACGAGCTGAAACTGCAACACGGCACCAAATGCTCCTTGCCTGCACGAGTTGAAACTGCAAACGGCACCAAATTCTCCTCGCCCGCACGAGTCTAAATTGCATGGCACAAAGCTCCTGGTCTGCACGAGCATAAAAGGCAACACCAACACTCCTTGCCTGCACGAGCTGAAACTGCAAACGGCACAAAAAGAAAATACCAAGAAAAAAAAAATGTATTTGAACTACGTTATGACTTGATCTCTTCTTTGGAAGGGTACGTAGGCAACTCAAATGTTCAACTTCGAGTACAGTCGTGTCAAAATAAAAAAAAAAATAATAATAATAAATCAGGTTTTATTAAATGTTTGACTAGTGAGAGTCAATTTTATTCTTGGTATTAAAATTAAAAAAAAAATGTATACATATTAATGTGGGTCTTCCTACACTTAAGACCCGTGCCAAATCAAATAAACACAAGTTGAAGTCCACAGAAAGGAGCAGCCCAAATGCCAGGCCCATCCTCACTTGTGTCTCGGCCCAGCAGCAGAAAGCTCAATTCACAAGCCCAGTCCCACCACCTGCAGAAGACGGATCAGGTTGAGTCCAGAGACACAAAGACAGCGCAGAGCAACAGCAGCTGCGGATAAACCAATCAGAAAACCCGAGTCAGAGTTCCAGAGCCGACTCAGTTGAGTGAGAGAATGAGAGATGCTTCTAGATCTAGTGCAGAAGCAGCATCAGCAGCAAGATAACGATGCAAGGACTCCATCACCAACAGCAGCAACTCGCGGCGTTTCTCTCCGTCGCCATCCCCAAGGACGATTCCGCCCTCGCCTGGGTCGACTCCGCCCACAAGATCCGCTCCCGGGTCGACAAGATCGGCGGCGAGAACCCCACGTGGAACGATCGGTTCCTCTTCAAGGTCCCGTCCGCATTTCTCTCAAGAGAGACCTCTCATGTCTCCATCCAGATCTACGCCGTCGGCTGCTTCAGTGATCACCTCGTCAGCACCGTCCGACTTCTGATCAACAACTTTCTCGACGTCCCGTCCAAGGTTCCGTCGGCTGCTTCCGCGAGACCTTCTGGAAGATTCCAAGGCGTGTTGAATGTGGCCGCGATGGTGATCGACGGCTCGTATCTGGCTCCGGCGGTGAGCGAGTTGTCTGCGGTCGGGTACCGCGACCTGATGGGAAAGGGAGAAAGCTTCCGGTGCCGGTGACGCGACAGCATGAAGAGCAAATCGAGTGATTACCCCGGCAATTCGAAGGAAAACTCTTTCACTGAGTCGGCGGAGAACTCAGACGTCCGCGAGTCAGCGGCATCATCTCCGGCGACGCCATTACCGCCTCTGAAGGAAGTGAACACGATCACCGAATTGGCGGGAACAACAAGGCAGGTGTTGAAGGCTCGTCCAATAGACGGCTCGCGTTTCCTGTGCTGCTTGCTGACGCAAAGGAAGATGCAATACTGTCCGTCGGATGAGAACGCGGATGGAGCCCACAACAGAGAAATGAGGTGTCAGAGATCTGGCTGCCACAAGGGTGCTGAAGAACTTGATGGTGTTTGACGTCAGCTTCAACCAGTTTCTGGGGTCGCTACCGGAGACGATTGGAGGGATGGTGAGCTTGGAGTAGCTCAATGTGGCCCACAACTTGCTGTCGGGGAAGATTCCGGCGAGTATTTGTTCGCTGCCGAGTCTGCAGAACTTCACTTACTCGTATAACTTCTTCGCAGGTGAGCCGCCGGCGTGTCTAGGACTGGCGGGCTTTGACAACAAGAGGAATTGCTTGCCTATGGATTGTAGTTCTTTTAAATGTAAGCCTTTTGTTCCATCTTTGCCTACTCCTCACTCCACTCAAACCCGACCTGCTGCACATGGTGCGCACACCCGGAGCAAGTTGGGCTACGTTCTCGGCATCGACTCCTTCCACTGTAGCGCCTGGCCCCCTCGACTTCGTCCTTCCCTGCAAATTCCCCCAGCCCATCATCGAAATTTATACAAAAAAAAAAATATAATAGAAAATGGGATAGTGGAGCAAAGTGGTGCTGGCACCACGTGAAAAAAGAAAAGAAAAGGGGAATGGTGGATCAGCACCATGTGAAAGCAAAAAAATAAAATAAAATAAAATAAAAAATAAAATAAAAAATAAAAAATAAAAAAATAAGAAAAATTAAAAAAAAAATAATAATATATATATATATATATATAATAAAAATAATAAATAAATAAATAAATAAAAAAGGAGAGAAGGTGGATTCTTGGTGGCTAGCACCATGCAAAGGGGAAGGGTTTTGGAATGGTGGATCAGTCCACGTAAAAAAATATACATACATATATATATATATATATATATATATACATACATACATAATATATGTATGTAAAAAAAAAAAAACGCATTAAGAGAAATAAAGTCCATTTCATTGATTTTGCTGGAAAATTACAGAGGGAACATTTACATGCCAAAAAAAAAAAAGTGCAAACAAACAAAAGCCTTTATTGATCAGGTGGCGCCTCAGTACTCGGCGGAGCCCCAGGTCGGAGAGGCACAAGAGGGTGGTTATTCAGAGCCTCAGTACTAGGCAGAACCCCAAGAGGAGGAGGCACCGAAGGTTGATCATTTGAGGCTTCATTACGCGGCACAGCCTCAGAAGACGAAGGCAAATGCTGCTGGAACAAACCCACAAACCTCTGATGATCAAGTAAAATCTGACCATCAGATTCTTGCATCTGGTCAATCCTCCTCTTCATGTTTGTCGCATAGCTATGGGCGAGCTTATGCAACTGTTTATTCTCCTGCTTGAGCCCTTTAATCTCTTGTTTGAGACTCATCACCTCAGCCGCCAATGATTCAACTTGACGGGTTCGAGCAAATAGGCGTTGGGCCATATTAGACACAGAACCTGCACACTACACACTAAGAGCCAGAGAATCCTTAACAGCCAACTCATCAGACCGTTTGGAAAGTAGTCTGTTATCTCTGGGAGTGACAAGGTTTCGGGCCACCACCGCAGCGGTTATATCATTCTTCACCACCGAATCCCCAACGGTAAGAGGACCAGTAGGGGATATGAATGTTGGAAATGTGCCCTAAAACCAATCATGTGATGATGCTTTACGGACATTTCACATGTTAAACTAATCTAGTTTAATATAAAGGGCAAAGATTATTGTTTGAGCCGTCTCATATAAATGTTATATGCTTAAACGATAAAGTCCAAGGAATATGTGATTGGGAGAATGTAATCTAATGAAGTTAGATTCATGAGACCATTCTTTCGTAGACACATCCTAAATGTTCCTGATCATAGGATTGCCAATTGGGCATTGACAGTCCGTCAAGATCGGTACGTGCTATGTCTTCTCTCAGGGAGAGTGACTAGTCTCGAGTCATTGGTGTGTGTGACATCAAGACAAGTACGTAGGTGCTCAGTAGAGAATGAGTTCACTGAACGCGATCAACGAAGAGTTCTCATACTCATGTCACATGAGAACTCATGGTTGGGATAATGCAAAGTAGTCCTTTGACCTGAGGCATCATAGTTGTCTTGTGGTTAAGTCCTTGATCTTTGATTATGTCAAAGTCACTCCATCAGGAGGGTGTCCACGGCATCGTTGGGGTTACGCTACTTAGCCATGGAGGCAAGTGAATGCGCAACAAGGGATCTCTAACCTTCAAACTGTTTGAGGGAGAATACTCTATGATATGATTTTGAATCTCTGGCCAGAGTATGAATGAAATTTGGGAATGCGTTCCGAATCACATTCAAGGTAATCATATAAGCACACGACTCACATTGGATAGTAGACATGAACAAATAAACTATCAAACCAAACAATGTGGTCAAGAGTATTAGATTAGAGAAAGACCGTATTGCATTTGTAATCCCAAACTGAATAGGTTTTCTCTACCTTTTCTGATTAGCTTGGGTAACCATGATATGCTGCAAGGTGTCACTCATGGTTTGTGGAAGCCCTAAACGTGTGTAATCACTAAAGGGAGAATTGAAAGTAAGTTTCAATTCACAATCGATATAAAATGGTTTTAATCGCCCACTGCCTCGCTAAAAGGAACCTAATGGATCGCACACCGTGTAAGGTGGAGATTGAAGAAATAATGGAGATGAGTAAGAATGATTAAATGGTTTAATCATTTATTTATGGCAAGGATTAATTAATATGTTAATTAATCAACGAATAAGTTCGTTAAAGACCTCGGGATAGTTTTGGACATTAAGGCCCAATGGGCTTTGAACATCAAGCCCATTGACTTAAGTTGTATGACAACTTAATGAATAATGATTCACAAAGGCCTAATTAGCCCAAAAATACCCTAGGGCCGGCCATGATGCTAAGGGTAGTGAACTTGGACTTATTTACAAGTTTGCCACTCAAATGAATAAAGGTATAAATATGACTTTATAGCCTAAAATTCATAAGGGTTTGTTTGGAGAAAATTGGAGAGAACATGTCTCTCCATTTCTCTCAAAAGAGGCCGGCCACCTTGGGGGTGCATCTTGCAATCCCACTACTCCAAGGTCACTCATTTCTTCTCCAATCTCTCCTTGGTGAAGAGACTTAGAGGTTTCCTATTTTGGGAACTTGGAGAAACCTATTCATCTATCCAAATCCATAGATTTAAGATGCAAGGAATGAAGGCCCTCTCTTTGGGTGATTAGCCTTTGCTTATGCAAAGAGGAATCTACAAAGGTATATTTCTCAACTCACTTTGATTTGAGTTGAGTTTTGGTTCACCAATCTACTAGGCTTGGAATTTCATGGTTAATGTTTTGTTTTTAAGTGCATGCAAGCATGATTCCGCCTTTAATTGTTAATTGCATGCTTATTGATGTTGCTTAAATGAACATGTTTTCACAAAATATTCCTTCAAGTGGTATCAGAGCCTAGGTCTAGTAGTTGGTGAATCCTTTTGGGTTTTGTAGTTCATAGTTTGTGATTTAAAAGTTGTAATATGTTACAAGCTTTATTCTTGTTTCTTTGAATGTAAATTTTGTTAGAAAATTTGCCATCTCAAATGTTGTAGATGTAGTTCATATGAGCATGAATATTGGAGCTAAAATTTGGTGCCATGACTTTGGGGATTTTCGGCCAAATCCAAAGGGTGGATTTTTGGGTTCTTGTTTGATTTGTTAAAAGTGTTTTAAAGTGACTTTTGGAACCCCTATGTACCCTAGTTTGGTTAGATGTTATTTCCCTAAAGTTTGAATGGTTTTGGAATGTTTTTGGGTGGAAAAAGTTCATGGAAAAATTTTGGGTTTTTCATGAATGTTCTTCATTGTTCTTGACATTTTTGCCAAGAACAAAAAGGTTTGTGTTTTGATTCAAAGTTTTGATTTATTTCATAAAGTTTATGTTTTATGCATTTTCAAATGTTTAAATGTTTTAAGATATTTGTTTAAATGGCATTAGAAATAATGGTGGGTGTGAAAGGATTAAAACCCTTTCACACACACCACTTGTGCACTTACATACTTTATGTCAAAACTCACAAATCAACACACACATCACTCATATCCTCTTCCAAAACCGGCCACCCCCTAGTGGGGGTACTTTTGGGGCTTTTATGCAATTACATAAAGTTTTGATACTTTTGTGTATTTGCACTTTGGCCCAAAAGTTTACGTTTTTACGTTTAGGTCCAAAAACACTAAAGGACAAATTGTTTTGATCCTTTAATGAAGTTTTTGCATTGATTAAATTTTGGGTTCTATTGTAATTACATGAAGTAGTGGACTTTTGTGTCTTTACAAAGTGACCCCAAAAGTTTTGCAATATAGCCCAAAAGTTGAGGTTAATTGCTTTATGACCCAAAAGTTGTGGTTATTGCATATTGGCCCAAATTAGGTAGAGAACAAAATTGTTTTGTCTCTTTAAATGAGAATTGGATTTTTCATTTTGTTTAGCTCCATTTAAAATCAAATTTTATGGATACAAAAACCAAATGAAAATGTTGCATTCAATTTAATTAGTTAAAGTGTTAATTAATTAAAGGGTGATTTATGAACCTAAGCCTACGATAATTGAGCTATGTGAAAGGCCGTTTCAAATTTGTTTGAACCATGGGAATGTGTAGATTAATTTTGGTTGTAATTTGATTTGATCAAATGTTGTAAAAGGGCTTAAGCTCTTCTTTACTTTAAAGTAATTTGTTTTATGCAAATGTTGTAATGAGCATAAGCTCACCTTTACTTTGAAGT